GCAAACTTTATACCCAAAGATGTTTACCAACGCTGCTTAACATTTATTAACACCCATCATCAGAACGACGGCGACGATATATAATATTTTGACGTGACCTCGCTTCATGCTATTATGCCAGGTGGACTCGGGAGTGGGTGGAACAGGATAACGTTTATTGAACCCCGTTATGCAACAAGGAACAAAGCGACGAAAAGGTGAAAAATGAGATTTCAACTTTACATAAACCTAAATTTTAATATCCGGCGAAACATCTCTCATAATATTAGTCAGAATAAATGCTTTAGTTATATGTTTATACAACGTGGCTTGTTGTGTGAATACATTAAAGTAACATCAATAACGATTTTTCTATTTCCTCAAAACTCTCCTACTGTCTTTGTTTGACTTTATTACGGTATTTCGGTCAAATGGTTATGAATGAATATTCTCACATTTCCTTTAAAGCTTTGCTTTATTTTCCACTAAACCATCTTCAGGAAAGACGTGTCCATCCATTTTAAGATATACAACAGGACGAAGACTGAAAGAGTAAGGGAAAAGTATAAACAACAGTTCTTGGATCATTCAACTTCTGGAGATGGTTTAGTGTAAAATAAACCGAAACGTTGAACAAATTGTGGGAATATATTCATTCATAGCAAGTTGACCAAAATACCAAAAAAGCAAGGAAATCTACAAGGGAATGGTCATCAATCAGATGTTCATTACCCTAAAACTAATCCCTCTGAATTATTGCCAAGTCCAACATTCTGTACGGCACCTTCTTGTCTGCCATAGGCCCCCGCACATCTGATGTTCCACTTCTCCAACCCGTCGCCTCTCCCTCCACTGTAAACCAGCTTTCATTTTGACCACTCGCACATACGGACACCTCATAATAAAAATCATAATTAACCGTATCTAAAGACTGCCATTAGCTGCATTCAATAAATGAGGTCATGATTTAATGCTAAGGAAACGCGGCTCAATGAGTCCACTTGTTCCACAGCCTGCGCGATCGAATGCATAACATTTAATTGAAATAGCAACGGATAACCGGTGACACTTTCATTTGAAAATTAATCCGAATACAGAACATTCGATAACATAATAATTGAAAACATTAATTAACTGGCAGTTTCAATCACACGTCGCAGATATTGCATGTACATAGAAAATCAGATCGCTGCAAGTTTGATTTGGAAAGGCGGTTTATGGAAGTAGGGAGACAGACAATGGTAGATTACTACGAAATGTATTTATTTTATCAAAGGTATTGAACAGTTCCGCACCAGATTGGACTTGGGGTAGACGCAAAACGACAAACTGTTATCGGATTGGCAATCTACTCACTCGAGCAGGTGTTCGTACATCCGCCATATGAAGGGGGGTGAGTTCCAAATTTTATATACCTACCCAAGCATTTGTAATTAAAAATGTTTTTCATAAAGCGACTTATAAAACTGTCCATAGATCACACCAAATTTGAATTGAAGAGAAAACGAATTCTCTTCTGTAGATGGCTGTATTTTACTTAACCATAGAGTACAAACGATAGGGTTATGTATACGTAGGTACGTCTGCCAATGTATTTCAAGCCAAACTTTAAATGACCGTTTTGCATAAATGTGGATACATTCCGTAGACCACGAGTATTCATGGGCCTATTGGCATATATCTCTGACTTTAAATAACCACATAAAAAGAATTCCAGTGGTCTTAAATCAAAGATCTATAGGGGTAACTGTAATCATCGAACCAAGAGAAGGATAGGGATTGTCTCTTGTATCAATTGAATTGTGCTGAATTGTATGTATCTATCTTGTAGAAACCACAAGTTATCCACATCAAGATCACCCAATTAAGGCGGAAAGAAGACTACAGACAGTACAACGCCCAGACTATATCCCACACTGTAATCTAATTGCTTCACAATGTTTGGCACCGTCTTCTTTAAACCGCATGTGCTATCCATTGTCCAGTTCAGGTAAAAAGAAGTCCACACATTCAAGGATTGAAGAAGGAAATCTAACGTTGTGGTAATATGGTCATGCAAAATACCGATAAAAACTGCTTGTGCGCCAGCAAGGCCGAAAAGGACTTCTGCCTGACATATTATTCCACACATAACCCTATACTCTGTACTTTATGATTCGACAATAAGTGTGAAAGAAAAAATCTGTATTTCATAATCAACTCAAATTCTGTGTGAATTTTCGGACACTCTTTAATAGTCACACGAGTCTGCTATGCAAGATTCCTATCTTCATCATCAGCTACAAACAGCTGAAAATTCCGCACATCTAGGTATCTTGAGGCGTTGCTTTCAAATATAACCAATTTGGAATTGAAGGTGACCTGCCTGAAATATTCTATCGCAACCAGCACCAAAAAGACAGCTGACTCGGAATCCCCGCCCGATTCATATAAGAAATAACTATCAGAATCACACTACCAGTTCTCCTGATTTTTCATACCAGTTCAAAGTAAACGAAAACCGAAGAGGAAAATATTAGATGTTTGGTGACAAGGTACATTGAAAAGGGCTGGCCAAATGAAGTGTTTCATGATATGTAGCGAGAAGCGCCTCTGCAAACTATGAAGATAAAGCAGTGGCGCTCGCAGGATTTCAGTCTGGGAGGGGTGAAATGGAAAGTAAGTTCTCAGTGTGACATACTGAAGTGTTATAATGATTTAACATTAAAAGCATGGACATATGCAGACATATGAATTTGTTACAGTAGTTTCTCTAGAAAATACATACAATTTTTTTTAATGTTGAGTCATACGAAATCAAAGTGTAAATAAAGCAAACCAAGCTGGAGCAATCTTCACATATTAAAACAAAAATGCAAAATAATATAATCTATCCCAGACTTTTCTACATAACAATGTCAGACAAAACAACAGAAAAGACACTAGACTACACCATAAAAGACTAGACTATTCCTGTTCCAACAGGAAGAAGCGCACACCGTTGCTATTGGTGGGAGAGTAGTCGCTAGTCGCATGCGCACTGAGCGGGTTGGCAGTGTTGCCGCTATCCTTTCTTAAAGTTACACATTTTTTTATAAGACGTTTACTTTATATCAATACTACCTTTTCAAAGACTGCTCGAGTCGTCTGGGGGGGGGGGGTTAATTACCTCCTTTACCCTTTACCCCCCCCCCACGTGGAAGCGCCAGTGAGATAAAGTATTGCTGGAATTGAAGTCATTGCGATACTCCTGCCTGAGAACTTGGACCGCAACATGAGCTAAGTACGTCATCTTACTTCTATTCCTAAAAATATGTATATAAGAAAGTAAATGGCACAACTGTATTTTGTAGTTTGCAGTTTTTTTGCTAATTATTTGAATTAATTTAACATTGAGCCCAGATTCGTTGCTTATGCAACAGTTGGTGCAAACAACCACTGTCTTCAAATTCTTAGGAAATCGCATTGTAGCATATAGCAGCTGGTGCAAAGAACGTCTCCAAATTATTAAGAATTCATTTCGTCTACGTCCGTTGATCTCCGTCCGATCTCACCTACCCCCTCCACACCCGCCCGGTAGCAGCACACACACATTTGTTATTTGTTTTCCATTTCATGTTTGGAATCATTGTTTTGGGCGTCGTCGTGACCTATTTACAAATTTATACCGACAATTTTGGACAATAAACGTTCGGCTTGACGTTCCTTTTAGTTTTTCGCCAAATAGTGAGGGAGAGACAATCGGAAAAGTGTGAAGTGACGACGTTCGCCAGAGCTAGGGATTATAGACGTTATACAATTCGCGGGAAACTATGGTGATTAGTGTTGGACGAAGGACAAGCACATCTGGTTTGTTGTGAGGCATCTACACTGCTGGCTAATAAGGTTAGTAGAAGTATATAGTCTTAGTTAGATAATTTTGTTTGCTTTGGTTAGTTACTAAACGAACAAATCGACCTTTGATATGGGCTCGACCCAGAAAAACTGTTGAAGCATACTTTATGGTACCTGAAGAAGCGATTTGGGTATGAATGACCTTGAAATTTTCAGCTTTTCTAGTGTCTATGAGCCGATTAATGATAGTTTATGATAGTTTTGTCGAAAATATAAATATGCTACCCTACTTTGACGCTCAGTTTTTAGTCTGCTGTTGACATTAAAGTAGGAAGTGTATAGAGGTCCGGAAAAGAGAACAGAACCTGTTCAGAGGTACGACAGTCTAGTAAGTATTCCCTTAGCTCTGATGAGCTAATGGGTAAATTTAGGAGAGAACATATATGTAATTACAGGTTAAGTAGGGCTAAGGTGTTCCAGGTTTTAAATGCTTTCTAGAATCTATATTAAAACATCTACATTATTTCTACGAAATCATTCGTATCTACCATATAATAGGGCCATTTATTTAGTTTACCTTTAAAATGATGTCTACCAGATAGCTCAAAACACTTTGGTCAAAACATGAACATAATTATAATAGTCGGGTAGCATAAAGCATAACATATCTCACACAATAATTGCTAACGCAGAGGAGTATCTCTGACTATGGCGGATCCTCGCGCACCGAATTTGCTGATACAAAGACGTGTTAGCAGTAGCGTACGATATGTTATGTTACTGGCTTCCGTTTTGGTACCCGAGTATAAATAATCAAAACCTGGAAATTTAAAGATCGTTCATACCTCAATCTCTAGGCTACAAAGTATCTAGTCGTTTTTTATTTTTTTCTCGCAGTAATAATGACTCGGTGGAACGTTTAAGCCCCTGAATAAATTCAAAATAAACAACAGCACATTTTTTTTGGAAAGATCTTCTATTTTTTATTCAAATTTTTTAGGACCTTAAACATTTTAAATGTAATAAAAAATTCTTATTAATATTTAAGAATGGTGGACTCCTTAAAGCCCTTATTTTCATGTTTATCAAGTTGTGAATATCTAGTTTCATTTTGACATTTTGAGTGCCTGTTTTTGAGTACATGGGATGCCTATCAGACGCCTCTTTTAAGGCTAGGTTGCACGCATAACTAGCAACCAATGCCAAATATGCCGACGATTATTTATAGACTGCCTCGGGGAAGTTTGGATGTTGCAGTAAGTATATTAGATAATACGTTGTCCATCTTAGCACCGTCTAATGAATGCATCTTGGTACTTGGCGACCTCAACGTTAATTTCTTCATTGATAATAAGATTAATCAGTGCTTTCAATCTTACAGCCTGCACCAGTTATTGAATGAACCAACACGAATAGCTGATCATTCTTCAACGCTTTTAGATCCGGTTTTCTTCAACTGTGCACAAAGATGTTCCAAAGTGGAAACTTTCACTGTTAACTTTAGTGACCATCAGGCTGTATTCTGTCACATTTCGTGTAAAAATAATAAACCACCACCTAGACTAATTACATTTAGAGACTATCGCAATTTTGATCTAACCTCTTTTGACGATGACTTATTTAGCGTTAATTGGGCTGAAGTTATTTATATGGCTAATATCGATGAGAAAGTAAAATTTATTTCCGATAATATTGTAGGACTTTTTGACATACATGCACCACTAAAAACAGTGAGAGTGTCTAAGCCTCGTGACCCATGGCTCACAAACAATTTGAAAATGATAATGAAAGAACTAGATAAGGCTTTTCATAAATATAGACGGTCTCGAACGGATGCGAATCGAAATCATTACAATGAACTGAGAAATTTTACCAAAACTGCTACACGTGCAGAGAAATCAGGCTACCTTCAACATCTATCTCGATAAAGAAACTCTGCAGCTCTTTATAAAGCTCTTAAGTCATTTAGAATTCAGGATTCTAGTAATACTGACATTCCAGATGATTTAGCAGTTCCCAGTGAAATAAATAACTATTTTACCAGTATATTCCAGAAAAGTGACGATGATTGCTCGGAAACTATCAAATTTTATAGCCATAACAAATTAAACCAAGATTTTCATTTTCAGTTCCGTCTTGTCGATATATCTGCAGTATTGGATGCTATTCGCAGTATCAAGTCCAATTCTAGTGGTATTGATGGCATTACCATTGAGATGATTAAATTGTGTCTACCTGCTGTAGGAATATACATTTTGCACTTAATAAATTGTTGTTTAGAGCGCGGTGTTTTTCCAAGTGCTTGGAAGGAAGCATTAGTGCAACCTCTTCCAAAGATTCCCAATCCCCAGGTTAAAATAGTTAGTTAAAATAGTTTATATGCAATTGAATGAGTATTTACTCGAACGCAGCATTTTGCCATTAAATCAATCAGGCTTTAGAAAGGGTCACAGTACCACTACCGCTTTGGCACGGGTTTGTGACGATGTACTATCAGCGGCGGATAGGCAAGAAGCAACTGCATTAGTCTTATTGGATTTCAGCAGGGCTTTTGACACCCTGAATCATAAGCTGTTAGTTTATAAATGTAAATACATTGGGTGTAACGACTTGGTTCTGGAATGGATAGATTGCTATTTAAAGGAACGACATCAATATGTCGTCATACAAAATAAACTTTCGGACAAAAGGCCGATTTGTTCCGGCGTGCCTCAGGGATCCATATTAGGTCCACTTTTATTCCTTATATACACCTTTGACATTTCTAACACCCTTCAACATTGTTCTAGTCGATCATATGCTGATGATATGCAGGTTTTTCATAATTTCTGTCCGAACAACTACCATTTAGCTAACAACCTTATCAATCAAGATCTGCAATACTTATGCACATATGCTGCAAAACATAATTTACATCTAAACGCATCGAAATCGACAGCTATACTTTTTTGCTCCAAGAAAAAACGTACTTTCCTCAAATCAAAGTTAAATTTATCACTAAATAATAGTATCCTAATATTTTCCCATTCTGCAAAAAATTTAGGTTTGTACTTGGATGAAGATTTCAGATTTCAGGAGCATGTTGGCTATGTGTGTAAGTCTAGTTATTTTAGACTCAGGCTTCTATATGCAAGTAAAACTGTTTTAAATAGAAAAATTAAGAAAATGTTATGGGAGTCACTCATACTCAGTAAAATCGCTTACTGCAACATAGTTTATTATCCCTGTCTGGATGAAATCACAAAATACAGACTGCAAAAAATTCAAAACTCATGTAGTCGTTACATAAACAATTTAAGAAGGTACGATCATGTTTCTCACTCAATATCTTCAGTGAATTGGTTGAAAATTTCTGATCTTTTCAAATACAACTTTGTTACATTTGTCGTAAAAATATTAAAAAATTCTGTTCCGGTTTATCTTATGCAAAAGCTTGTTCGTAGGAATTTAATTCACAATTTGAATACGCGCAACATTAATCTCCTGACAATGCCACAACATAGGACATTTTTCAACGGTCTTTTACGTATAATGCGGTGAAAGGAAGAATTTAAGGTTAGGAAAATTTCAATTTCATTACTATCGTCGTGAAATATTGGCGTAGGTTCCCTATAAACGTTAAAAAGCGATATGATAACTAGCACGTTTTGGGAGAATCTTTATGAAAACAAAAGTTATATTTTCAACACCTCTAAGTCATCACATAACCCTACGCGGAATATTACAAGATTTGATTTTGTAATGAAAGAGACATTTTGATCTCAAATTTTTTCTAACCTCAAATTGCTTACTTGAGCGATCGTCGGTAGATTTGACATGGTTGTCGGTTATTTAGGCAGTGTGGCCTTAAGCGAGTTGTCGATCCATCAACATTTTCGGAACCATCCTTGTTCAAACAAAAGGTTGATTACGCTTGGCCACCAGTGCCAAAATAATTCACGCGAATGCGTATCATCATCATACATAATGTTTATTGTGCGAACTCCGAATGCGTATGCGTAATACACACGCCGAAAATAATGTCCGACCATAACCTTATTAACGCTGCAATAATATATCAAGCTGGACATGGCTAACATGGCGGACGGCATTGCTCGATTTATGGAAAACAAAAATTGTGCGAATTTATGGATTAGACATGGTGTCGTGAAAAAAGTGGGATCAAGTCGGTGGACTCAGTATACAGGGTGTCCTGAAAGTTGTGACTTCGCTTTTCAGAAACAACTAAGTTTGTAACAACAAAGCGAATTTGTGCTGCGTGAAACATTAGCAAAAAAGCAAAAAAAATGAGTACCCACCATTCGTCGAAAACAAATTTCAAGAACAGCTCTGTCACTTGTAAATTATCTGCAATAGATTCAATGTATGTGCTCAACGTAGCGACGCATCTGTCTGGGCTTTTATAATGGACTGCCTCATACGAATGAATGCAGATGATTGCTAAATTCGCACACGTAGTTCGTCAACTGTGTGTTCATCTTAGATTTATACACTAAACATTTCGCCCCAAATAAAAAAAGAAATTACGAAGGATCTTGAAAAACGATCTGCATGCACACTCGAAGCCTCGGTAGCATTTCGAAGACACTCACCGTAAATTAAAATAATATAGGCAACTCCGATAATGCTGTATAAATTTGCCATTTTGGTTTTGTTTTTTAGAAGCGATGGGTAAATGTTTTGTTTGCCAACGCTGCTAGCACCTGGATTGTGCATCTCGTACGTATTTACGTTTGAACTATCGAGATGCAGGATCGAATTAGCTTTTGTTTAGGTTTGATTTATTTTGCGGGAGCCTAATAATTCGGTTATTTTAATACTTTGGTATATCTAACTAGGAAAAATTGCTCTTCTATCTAGGATCTATACGCCGTGTAAAGGAAGGTCCCCAAATTGGGGACACCCTGTATTTTCACACATTAAGTTACTAAGCGGCGTAGGGTAACGAAGGTCACATGATTGAGGTGTCGCAGTAATAGTTGAGTCGAATTAGTGATGGAAATGAATGCTCTGAGCAGTGTTGCCAGGTCCTATTTGTTTCATATCGCCTTAATAGATAAAACAAATATCAGGATTTAGGGTAGCAGAGTGGGACAAACAAAAAACAAGGATATTTGGTAATCCCACGGTGGCAGTGGTGTCAGATTTTCTATCTTATGCGTCTCACGCACACTCAACAGTTATAATTCATGATTTAGGAACATCAAGTGGAACAGGGATTTCTCACTTTTTCCGATCTGCCTCACTTTTACTAAATTTTTGTTGAATATAGTCACTATTTTGGCAGTTGCTGTCCATATTGCAGTTGGTGATCGTTTTTTGGGGCAGATGTCCCCTTCCTCTCAAACCCGACGAAACTAAAAGTGAAAATAACATTTTTTATAAATATCAAATGAATCAATATGTATTGCATGAGAAATTACTATTATTAGTTGAAATATAGGTACGTTGAATTTTAACATAACCTTGTACCGGAGCACCGGGTATTTTAAATTTGACCTTCACCATTGGTATCTCGGAAACAGGCAAGACGATATAAAGTCGTTTATAGAGGCAAAGTTGCGCATTTAAGTAACTTATCAAGTTTTACACGTTGACAATTCAGAGTATTTCTGGAGACAGATGAAGATATCATCTATCGTTTCATTTTTCCTGGCATAATTTGAGGTGGGATTTCAATACAATTTCCATTAACAACCTTTTTCTAAGTGGCTTGACCTGTTAATACGTAAGTTTGTTAGTATGAATGTGTGGGGCAAATCTTGAAACTGAATCTTGAACCATTCTTATCCAATTGCGCTAAAATTTTCCATATATATCAGGTTCGGGCAACAATACATAATAAATTAACCGCCGCCATTTTGAATTCAATATGGCGCATATATGAAATAAATGGGCTTGATGAGAAACAGTCAGGAAAATGAAGTCATTCTAAATCAAATATGGCGGCGAGTTTCAATAGTCACCTCAATGATGTATCATATGAAAAGACTTGATGAGAGAAACACATTAAGCAAGGTGACGTCATTCCAAATCTAATAAGGAAACCACCACAAGATAGCGTTTATAGTATCTAGAGTCCCCTCTTATTATATGGTTATCAGCCCAAAGGCCTTGATGAGAGATACACAATAAGCAACGTGACGTCACACGAAATCCAATATGACAGCTGCCGTAAAATGCGATTTATAATTTCCATAGCCACCTCTATATTATGGGTATCAAATTAAATTGCTTGATGAAAGAAATACATTAAGCCAAGTGAGGTCATCCTAAATCTAATATGTCGGACTTTTGATATGACACTGCAATAATATTATGAAATAAAGCTGATCTGATGTTGGAGATATTAGCAGGCTGTGAGAATTGTGTAGTAAATTAACGCAAACCCATCGAATAGCGACTCGTTTGATTTATCGTGACTAGTACTCTAGTCCTAGGACCTAATGATCAAGGTAGTCAACTATTGTTTAAAAATACTCATCTGTAATCACCAGATCAAATTTCATCCTTTTACCATTAGGTAGTTAAAATATAGGTTCATGAGCATTTGTTATATTTTTTTTCATTTATTTTGTGTATCCTATGCATTCAATTGCAACGTCAATAAAACAGAAATAAATATTTTATAAGAGTTGTTTTCGTTTTTACCCAATATCTTATTATCTGTTTAAATCGGGAAATATAAAATTCAATTTCTCAGAAAATTGACTCACTTTTTCACGAATACATATATGCACACTACTTTTCACTATTTGTTTGAAAATTTCACTTCTCTCAATTAAATTCACTATTCACGACCCCCTCTTCAATAACTAGAGGATTATCGCCCAAGGTCCGATAAAATTTGACTCAAGATTATTATTGTGCAAAGCATGGAAAACATCTTTGTAGGAAATCAGCCCACAGTGGTCGTGAAGTCTGATGGAAAAAAAATAGACAACCTAGAACCTCTCCAATCTTCGTTTTTGTACGCTCTACAATTTCTTGAAAGCATAAGTAACGGTAAAGTAGGACTTGAGATATATCTTCTTTGTTGACATTGCCTAGATTTTCTTCATTGCAGCAAGGACCCCCAGCTGATCAGGCGATCTTGTGTATCTTCGAAACGTGTTCGATTCTCGGACAGTCCAACTGAACATAAAAAATTTTACTTCACAGCTCTTACTCAAAAATGTCCGACCGGGCACGTAGGTGTTTAGATTTATGTGGCTTGTATAGGCTGCGTATAGTTTTATTCGAGTGCCAACAGCAAGCGTGAAATATTATATTCTGAACATGACCTTACATATTAAAACGAAAAATCCGAAGATAATTTATTATCGACCTGCCGACTGACAGACCGATTTAACTTTGCAGCGTATTCGAAAGTTCCACGGTATTTTTCTCTTGAGTACTGTAATTGAGTTCATGGTTATTATCTGATATTCCTGTATGTTTCTTTCACCCCTAGCTTTTTGAAATTCACATAAAATAATTTGTGTTTAAAAATGAAAAGATGGTGTCAAGTGAATTGACTTACACATTGGAATACGTATTTGAAATGTCACTTGCTCCTCCCAGGTGTAATCTTCTTCGAGGTTGGCGACTATATCATAATCTTTGTGCAGTATTCATTAAAGTAGCTCCATCCTTTGTAGTCCGTTCTTTAATGTAGCTACGATTTCTTCTTTTTTCGTATTCCTCTCTTTCTCTCTATATTCCCCTGGACCATAACTTGCAGTTCATATTCTTTTTGCATCATCAGGACGTCAGGTGTCCCAAATATGCCGTTTTTCAGATTTTGATGGTTGTGATTACATTGTTAGTGCTTTCGGTGTCTAGCCAATTGGTAGGATTCTTCTGTAAAAAAACACCTCAAATGGTTGGAGACGATCTATATTCTGCTTCTGTCCACGCCTTACAACTGTACAATTGTACTCATTTACTTAGGTATAATGAAATCCTGAGCGTCATCAGCCATGAGAAAGATAAAATAAAAAAAATTCGTTTTTTAAGAACAAGTTTTTATTTAGCAGTTGAAACGGACTTGAAATGCAGAAATATTTTTTTCGGTGTGTTACTTTTTAACATCAAGAGGGAAATGCTTTTATTTGAAATCTTGAGACGAAAGGGCTCACTAATGTTTGAAGGGTAAGAAGTATAAAACGGCATATTTTGAGTTGGAAACAATTATTTATGAATTTTTGATACACTAAACAAATTTTTTTTTTCAAAATTTTTTTCTTCATTTTATTTATTTTTTGCTCTTTACTATTTATGTCAAATAACTGGTTTTATTATGGCCTCACCTCAACTTGACTGTGTGAATTTGCGGTGCTTATACTTGCGTCAATTATGCGGCTTATTTCAGGTTGGCCCGTACTTGCGCCTAAGCAAACACAGTCTTCGTTTGATTTGGGATACCAAAAAGGAAGAGAGCAGCAATTTTGTCAATTCAACATGACTCCGCGCCAGCAGTAGCGTGCGATGTGTTTTGATGTTTTCTTCCTTTTTGGTACCAGGGTATAGATAGGTTGCAGACCAATGCTGACGACACGTATCTCACCTACTCATGTATGGTAGAGCTATTCTGTTAGCTGATTGTGAACTCAGTCACAATGTTAACTGGTTAAAAACTAATGAATATGTTAATCGCCAGATATATAAAGACGTCACATTACTTATTATATCTCTTCCATCAAGTCCTTTCATTTGATATCCATATTATAGGGGTTCCTATAGAAATTATGAATCGCCGTCTTATAGCATCCGCCATATTGGATTCAAAATGGAGCAATTTACTTTATTTTGTATTTTCACGCGAAAAAAATGTTTATATAAAATTTCAGATAGATTGGTCAAGGTTAACCGATTCAAAATTCAATTTCAAGATATCTTACACACAAACATACTAACATACTAACAAATAGGTGAAATTAAATATAAGCTTGTAAAAATGTGAGAAATGTCTGATTTCAATTTTTTGACAGCTGTATGAAGATTCTGGCTACGCCGTAACTATGAACTTAAAAAAAAACGCTGAATAAATCCCCATTATTGTCCCGCCAAAAATATATTAACTGCACCCAAATATCGCCAGAACCCCGAAACGTATCGAAAAACAAGGTTGGGGATGATCAGCTATTTTTCACCCTTTCACCATAACCCCACTGTCATTGGACTGATTTTCACATTTTCACAACCTACAAAGCTTTTTCAATCCTGGCGTTGTAGTTACTGTAGCTTATGAAACGTATAATGTAGATTTTATATTCATATAACTCCATTATGACACCACATACAGTATGTTTCAATTTACATCGTAGTGCTAGATAATTCAGGGTGTTTTGACATCTGTTGAGGTAAGCAGCTGATCAGCAATTGATATCTTTATCTTAAATCTGTTGGTACTAATGAATTTGAACAGTTTACACCAAGTTCCAATGAAAATTTAGTTTCACGCATGTACTTTCACGTGCGTTCGTAACTTTTCCAATTACTGTATGCAATAAATCACATAAGAGCGTTGTTAGAAAGTATGAATCAATACAAGAAACCATAACAAAACACGACTGTGTTTATATCCGTCAGTGATGTTTATCGATTGACGATATATGAGGTATTTTGAATGTCCCTAAAATAAATCAGTAAATCCGTGATATACAGGGTGAGTTTTTAGAGACAACTTTATGTTCTCTATTTTAAAAATACATAGTTATTTGATCCAAATATATATTTTTTAATTGGAGAGACCTACATTTTATTGCAGACTAGGATAGGCATTTTCAAAAGAAGAAATTTGATATAATAAACTATAGGGCTTTATTTCTAAGTTGTTGAGATATTGAAAACACACACAACTCTAACATCTCGCACCGCCGCAAACTGTTACAGCTAGACTACTAAATTTTTCGTCAAACGAATTTTATGATCGCAAATTTTCTTTCTATCCACTTACTGTCTCAGTTTTTTCGAAAGGTGGTCAAGAACGCAAAATGAACGGTTTCTCGACATTTTCGAATGGTACACCCTGTATATTTTCACACTTTTGACTCCCCTTTTGACAGGCTTTTTTTCGATATGAGGTTTATGAGTTTGTACCAATGGTTTTTGAGTTACAGTTAACCTTTTTGTAAATCGGATATCTTGGCAGATGAAAAATATTACAAGACATTTTAAAACGAAAATAGCAATCAGTTAGAAACAGAAGATGGTTAAAATTTGTGTATTTTCATTACACATTGAATCTGTCTAACCCTGTGTAATAAAGTCGGAAAGTCAATATGTCCCTGTGTTTTTAGTAACTGAAAAACTAGTTGTTCGAACACCCATAAACCTTATATCAGAAAAAACCTGTGTAAAGAGAATTAAAAAGTGTGAAAATGCACAAGATGTTCATATGAACATTTTGAGAAATCGTTCAAGTTGCATTCTGGACTGCTCTGTATAAACTAACCAAAATATTAAAAAAGTAAGCATAAAGCGACAAATTAGTTCATTAGTTTTAAGTGTTACTTTCGATAGATTGGTGGCCTATATTTCCAATTTGAAAATAGAATATGTTATATCAAATCTTTTGGAAGGACCTATCCGAATCTGAAATAAAATGTAGGTCTTTCCATTAAAATATACATATTTGGGTCACCGCGTAATTATAAATCACTCTGTAGAAATACAAATATTTTACGAGTAAGGAGTATACTGTTAGCGTCAATTTTTTTAAATTAACCATGCGTATTAGCGAAGTTATCTACCGAGCCCACACTAAAAACTCACCCTGTATATCTGCACTCGTATGTTCTTGTTTTGTTAGCGTTTTATCAATTTGTCAAAGTTGGAGGCTTTTGCAGAATGTCTAGGATGTTTCCATTTTGCCTACTACATATCCGTTTCTCTGGATGGGGGAAAGAGGGGGGTGGGGGTTGTAAATCTAGAGAGCTTGAAGTGCCGTCGGTAGCCGCACATGGGCCTCTCCCGCACCATAGGTCCACGTGGCTCTCAGTTAGGCCATTTCGCCTTTACCATTCATTTAGCTGGATTTTACGAACTGTCAGATTTACGAGCAAGAGATTTGTCCAGCGAGCGGCGGCTATGAAATGTATCTTAGTGTGAATTATCGATACATCCGAGGTACATTATTGACTTTTTAATAGATCTGTAGGATTTATTTGTTTATCTTGAACACAAATCACTTTTGCTTACCGGTAGCCGGAGTCCGAGTTTTAGTACAGGCATATTAGGGATAGTCAGTTGTCGATGGTTTCTTAATATATTTTTCACGTTTACTTCTTAGTTTGAAGTCCACGTCAGGCCCACTTTTTTACCTCCTACGTAAACGGCAAAGTTATCTCTTATAGAGAACATACATGCTCATTCGACTGGGTCTGTCTGTTGGTTTGTCCTTAGACACACAATCGCACATTTTTTAAAATCAGTGCGATCGAGATAGAGTTATTAACGACAGATAAATAGTAAATAATAAATATAAATAAATAGCGTTTATTGCGCAACAGTTAAGGACACCATTTACAGGACAATCCTACGATAAATCAAAATAAAAAGAACAGAAAACACATAAAAAGCAGGTGATTTCAAAAAAAGAAAAAGAAGCAAAAAAAAGATATTTCACTCAGTAACATATCATAAATTATCCAAGCAATTCTAGCTACTCCCAGAATGCTGTTAAAACTGTCAGCATGTACGTCACAATAATTTGATATTGCATTGAAAGTTTCACACATCACCTATATGGGTGCCTTCAAAAACAAATTTGTGCGAGCCCTGTCACGATAAAATGTTTTAGCTGTACGAGTTTGAATAGATGGAACATTAAAGTTTATTTGAGCCACAATCCCATTAGCATCAATTTGATTGTGCAAGAACATAATTGATGCACACTTCCTTCTCAGTTCTAAAGGCTGCACTTGAAACCTAGACAATAACAAACTTTCAGATATACCACGTTCAGGATGTAGGCATACACCTAAAAATGCCTAAACTACGTTTTTTAAGTTCTTGAAATTTTACTTACGTTTAGCATAGTAAAAAACTAGGATAATGAAAATCTCGGATATAGTTGCTAGTCTCTGATAAGTTAAGGTCGTGTTTATAATGACTTCTTTGATTTTCAGGTAAGTCAGAGTTCCGGAAAGTTGCTGGGTCGCTGGTCATGGTGAGTAGTTTTTCCTTTATCTAGTCATGTGTGGAGGGCTTTCAATTATTGCCTGGTGCAAAATACAGGTTGCTTTCTAAACAATAAAATTTGCATGGGGTGATTCCTAAATGACGATTTCTGAAAAGTCATTCCATCTGAAAGATGTACGACGAAAAATTTTCGAAATAAGATTTTTATTAGCAAAAATCACGACACAAACTAATACATTTCTACTACATTACAAAATTATTTATTGTTAAATTATTTGTCCAAAAATGAAATCCAGGACCTAGTTTCTTCTTGAGTTGGAAATTCATCTATCATGCATTTCGACCTGCATCGTACTGAGGATGTACTGTTGGTTAGAAGAAATTCCTATTGGTCGAAATTTACCATATTCAATCTATTTTTTTTTAATTAAAACATGAACAGTAACTTATTGTTCACACATTGCGTTTTCCAAAAATACCCAAATCACCCGTAAACATCATTTTGCATATAATCAACAATCACAACTCAAAACAAAGTCTTCATATAGTTTAATTCTACGTTGTGATCTTGCTATATTTTTTGACCATCGTTATTCAAAAGTCGCGCTTTTAAATCACTGATATCAAAAAGTAATGACATCAGATATCACAGGTATTTTCAATGTCAATGACTTTCTCTCCAAATCCTCGGTAATGTATACTAATGATACCTCCTTACTTGGCAAAAACTTGGAGTCCCTGGTAAGAAATGCCAACACAAGCTTAGCTGGTGCAGAACAATAGTTCATTAAAGACGGCGTGGTCTTAAACCACAAAAAGACAGTGTTCCTGAGATTTAAGTACTGTAATATGCACATCATGGGCCGTAGTCTTCTTATAAGATACATGGAGCAAGCAGAAATTATGAAATTTTTAGGAATACACATATCACATAACTGCCAATGGGATACGCATGTAGAGACAGTTAGTCAAAAAATTACTCCTCTCTGCTATTCCATGATTAATAAGTGGATCTTGGTAATGTTTCACCATACACATATCCATTCTACTCTGGCTTATGGAATAAAGGCGTGAGGAGCATCCTCCAAGTTACAAAGGTTTTTTATAATACAAAAAAAGAGCTATTAGAAATATTGCAAATGTGGGAAGATGCTTTAGTTATACGGAACTATTCACAACTTTAAATATATTAACGCTGTCTTCAGTATACACATTAAATATATATATATATATATATATATATATATATACAGGGTGACTTCGAAGTTGAGTCATTTATTTTAACAGTGAGTAGATCTGATCAAAAGAAATGTTTTTTTCCTTTACCATTTTTCTGGTAAAATTAAAGTAACAAAGTTATAGCCCTTTGGAAGTTTCAGTACCGCCCTGCCTATTATATGCTCGTGTTTGGCGACAACGGATATAATCCGCCTGACCGGTTCATCGCATCGGAAACAAAAAAGCGAAAGAATTTGAAACGTTTATCACGATGTTTTTCGTCAGTCGATAACGCGTAAGTGAATAGTAGTGTGTTGCGTGGTTCAAACGAAATCAAAAATGGCACATGTTTACGAAAATGCTGAACTTGTGGACATGATTCTTATTTACGGGGGGGCAGTCTTTACAAAATGCTCCCGGATGCATCACGGATTTATGCGAATCGGTTTCCCAATCGAGTGCAACCAACCCCTCGTGTCTTTGTTAATGTAGTACAAAGGGCTCGTGAATCAGGTGACTTAAGACCTCACAGGTGAGGGCATGCTGCTCCAAGACCGCACGATCAAATACAGGTCCGCACTGAAATACTTGTCGGGAGGATACTTTATTAAACAAGGTAACATTTTTTTTTAATTTTTTTTTTTATTTTTACACACATATTTTGGTTTATCTTCCTTCTACAATCATTATCTGAAAATTAATGACTCAACTTCAAAGTCACCCTGTATATAGATAGGTCGAGATGTCGAGCGACGTGCACGTGTGCGAGCGCTGCTCCGATAATTTTATTGTTAATGGAAAATATGTCTGCTGCAAAAATTGTGAACAACGTTACCATAGTCAATGTGCATCAATAAAAGATGACATACAAAAATTCCTACAAAAAAGTGAAAATGTGTTTTGGTTATGTGACAAGTGCAAAAAATCCTTCAAGAATCCCAGTGAGCAGAATGCCGAATTACCTATCTACATCAAGGAAATAGAATGCCTGAGGCGAGAAAAACAGCTGCTAGAAAAATTATTAAACGAGCTTGAATATTCAAACACGTTATTAAAATCAAAACTAGAAACAAATTCTGAAACAGCTGCGTCAAAAACTGTAGCAGTTTCTCATGGTATTTCCACTTCTCAGAATGTATCGTATAGCAGTGTGTTGAAAAAACATGTAAACAAACAATCAGCTGTCCTTCTAGTAAAAACGGATAGCAATAACGGAAATACTGATGTGATTAAATCAATAAAAAGCAGCGTGAACCTGGAAAATCTGGACATTAGAATAGATGGAACTAGGAAAACGAAACAAGGTGCAGCAGTTTACTGTAGGGATGGATCTGACTTAGAAAAACTCAGTGCTGCCCTAAAGTCTAAATTAGGCAGTGGGTATCAAATAAAAAAGTCTGAAAAGTACAACCCTCGATTGCTTGTCAAGAATGTTACACTGGATGACGATCTGGGCGACGATGCAAGTATACTCCGTAAGGTTGTCATGCTGAATAACCTAGATGAGGAGAATTTGTCAACTATGAAGATAGTCACAAGGCAGAAAACGAGAAAGAGTAATCAAGTGCATCTGGTAATCGAAGTTCCACCAACGGTAAGAAAGAATATCATTGATAAGGGGTTTGTCTACCTGGGATGGATGAAGCATTATGTATCTGACCATATCAATGTCTTACAGTGCCTTAATTGTTGTGCGTATGGTCATGGTTCGAAAAACTGCAGAGTGCAGACCGTATCTTGCATTAAATGTGCAGAAAGCCATAGTATTAGAGACTGCCAAGCTAGCACGCAAAAATGTAAAAACTGTGTTAACCATAATATCAAGTTTCATACAAAATTTGATGTAGCCCATAAGGCAGGTGATAAGTCATGTCCAGTATATATTTCTCATTATCATAATCTTAGGGATAGGGTTAATTATGAAGATTAAAGAGTTAAGAATTGGACATTTAAACATACGGTCTCTTTTATCAGATTTTGATGCTTTCACAACTATACTGAAAACTGAGAATTTTGATTTCTTAGCAGTAAGTGAGACATGGCTCTCTAGCGACATCCCTGATAACATTGTACGTGTCGATGGATACAATTTTTTCCGTTGTGATCGAGCCTCACGAGGCGGTGGTGTTGGCATTTATATTAAATCGCATTTGAATGCAAAAGTTATTAATGTTGATATTCGTGTTGTATGTTTAGAGACTCTTTTTGTGCAAGTGAATGTAGATAAACATAAATTCGCGGTTGGCGTTTTGTATCGTCCGCCGTCGCAAAGTCTTTTGGACTGTGCTAATGTCTTAGATAATTTGCTACCCGTCATCGTTAATGATTTTGACAATGTTATTGTTTTGGGTGATTTGAATCACGATTTTCTGAATTCAACTAATATCATATCCTCGAGTTTTGAGGTGACTGGCTTTTCACAGTTAGTTACATCTCCTACACGGGTGACAAACGACACCGCTTCATTGCTTGATCCATTTTTCACTAATCAGCCGGAACTTGTCACTGGCTGTTTGGTACTTGATGCTCATGAAATATCTGACCATAAGCTTGTTATGTGTACTCTGAAACTTAGTGCTGGCAAGATGCATCAAAAATTCATATGCGTGAGAGACTTCCGTGAGTTTGATGAGGCAGCTTTCATTTCAGATCTGTGTACCTCTAATCTTGATGACTTATATTTTATGAATAACATAGATGCTAAAGTGGAACATCTGACGACAACCCTCACAAATATTTATAACAAACATGCTCCGATTAAGACACTACGTGTTAATAAACCGCCATCTCCTTGGTTGGATGAGGGAATGAAAAAGCTTATCAAAGAAAAAGATTCAGCTTTTACCAAATATAAAGCTAGTAAATCACTTGAAGACCTTGATAAATTCAAACAGCTGAGGAATAAGGCACTACATAAAATTCGAATGAAAAAGAAAGAGTATATTCAGAATCTAACTGATCAAAATAATCTAAAAACTTTATGGTCTGGGCTGAATAATTAATTAATAACATAAAATCTCGTTCAAAACAAACAATACCAGATGAGATAGCCGATGCAAATAGTATTAACAACTATTTTATGTCAGTTTATAGTTACGACAGTGTCTCAGAAAATGTATGTCGGTTTTATGACAGCAACAAATTGGACAATCGAAATCGTTTTTCTTTGCGAGTTGTCGAGCCGGTGGAAATATTGAAGGCAATCAAAGATATCAAATCAGATGCAAAAGGAATTGACACCCTCTCACTAACCATGGTCAAAGTAAGTCTTCCCGTAACTTTTTTCCATATCACCCACATAATAAATTCATGTTTGGAAAATGGCTACCACCCTAAGCTGTGGAAGCTGGCTCTAATTATACCTGTCCCTAAAATATCTAAACCTACTGAACTTAAGCATCTTAGACCCATTAGTTTGTTGCCGGTGCTATCGAAAATTTTGGAAAAAATTATACAGCAACAAGTTGTCCATTACATAGAGGAACTAAAAATAATATCGTCATGTCAATCGGGCTTCAGGAAGCACCATAGTACCACCTCGGCACTGTTAGATCTTTGTGATAATGTTATTAGGGCAGTTGACAAAAAGTTAGCAACAGCAGTGGTATCAATTGACTATTCCAAAGCATTCGATCGAATAAATCATAAACTTTTGTGCGCCAAGCTGAGGTATATAGGCTTCGATGATGCTGCTGTCAGTTTTTTCCGTAGCTATTTGTCCGGTCGCACGCAATGTGTCGCAATCAATAACGGTCAATCCAATATTACGACTATTCCGTCAGGAGTTCCGCAAGGCTCACTTTTGGGACC